AGCTGGTTCTCCCCGAAATGCGTTGAGGCGCAGCAGTTGACTGGACATCTAGGGGTAAAGCAACTCAAGAACTAAAATTTGTAGTATCTTCTGGATTTTGGGATATTATGGTAGAAGAGGATTCTAAAACCACCATATCCTAGCTGAATGGTGAGTTGGATGGACCATGGAAGCTTAAACATTTGATAAGAGAAGCTAGGCAATTGGTAGCAAACTAGGTGCTAGCTTCTTCTGGATTCCTTGTTCTGCCAACACACTTGCTGACACAATAGCTTGTGAAGGTGCTAACCAGGGATGCAAATGCTATCCGTTTCTCTGAATTTGAATTTGATCACATTAAGGGTGATCTAAATTCAATCCATTTATCTAATATGGATCCACTCCTATCTGATCCAATAAAACCCAATTTGACTCGATTGAAATAGATATGCTCATTTATACTTAAAATCTATATTGTATCTATTAGTAAAGTTGGTTTGAATGTTGTGTTTTTACTAAATTGTCATAAGTTCAAGTTTATACAAGTCATTTCAATTTGTTTTGTTCATGAAATACAATATAGTCATTTTGATCAGGGGCCATTACTTGGTGAAAACACATTTGAAGTCTGAGGACAGTCACTGATGACCCAGTACCTGTGATGGTCACTAGGTGTCCCTCCGAGATGGAGGCGTGGGATCAAACCTGCATTACCATATGCTCTCCATCGGTAAGGTTGGTGTGCGCCACGTGCACTCTGCTCTATCCCCCTGTAATGTGTAATATGTAATGCCAAAAAAAAAGTCCGAGAAAGGCCACTTTGTGTGAAAAATGCCAAAGGTTAGGACCATACCCATTCTGCCCTTCCCAAGACCCTAGATAGCTGGTGCCAACATTGGGCAATGATTTTTTTTTTTAAATATTTTGATCAACTTAAAACTATTCAATATCCAATTGCAATCTGAATTTAATTCGAATCCAATGGATAAAATTTGACCTGAATTCAAATATAAATGAAACAAATTTGGATTACCTATATCTGATTTGATTCAATCTGTTTGCATCTCTTCTGTTAATGGACATGATTTGGTACGGGGACAACATTGTTTGGACTAGGATCAGAAACAGGATTGTATGGGGGCATCCTACTAGGGGCATGAGGAGCTAAATAGCTAGTTACTATCTTGTTCAGAACCATCAAACAAAGCTAAGAAGTTAAGGTTAGTGGACAAAATAATATGCTGTGAAGTTGTCCTGTGAACTTTAAGAGTCAAAATTACATGATAGAGTGGGTTCAAGCAAAATTTCAACTCATAAAAAGTGCAAATGATTCTAATAGATTAACCAAATAATCTATTGCACAAACAAAGACTAAGATTTAACTTCATGTTTGAAAAGAATTTTGAGCTAGCTCAAAGTGGCAATCATGTCCATTATGTGGGCAATGCTATGCTACTTCACATATCTGCAATGTTATTGCCAACTTATGTTATAATACCATCTCTTGTACTCTATATAGTGCCAATAGTTTTCATTGGGGAATGTGTCAATTCTGGTAATATTTTGTGTCAGTGCCCATGGAAACGGAAATATGTTGCGGAAATATTGTGATCTAGTTCAAGCACTGGTTTTGATTGGGATTTGGGCCTAAAAAGGGGTCTATGGCTGGGCAATGATATGCCACTCCACATATCTACAATATTKTTGCCAACTTATGTTATAATACCATTCTTGTACGCTATATAGCGCCAATGGTTTTCATTGGGGAATATGTCAGTTCTGGTAATATTTTGCGTAGTGCCCATAGAAATGGAAATATTGTGATCTAGTTCAAGCACTGGTTTTGATTGGGATTTGGGCCTAATAAGGGGTCTAAGGGATTCAGAATTTAACAGTGTCTTGGCTCTTCTTCATATCCTTGAAGGGGTTTTCTTGGATCCATTCAAACCTGATAGTTGAATTTCGACTCGCTCCTCTGCTGGTACCTTCTCTTGTGCTTCCTTTTTCAAGGTCTTAACTCAACCCTCAGATGGTTTGGGGCAACCTTTCTGTTAAGGAGGTTTGGAGTAAACCTATCCCTCCCAGAATTATAGGTTTTTGTTGGGAAGTGTTACTGGAAAGAATAAAAACTTGTGATTTGCTCCTAAGAAAAAGACTGAGTTGGTGCTTATCCCCTCATTGGTGTGTTCTCTATAAAATTAATGGAGAGTCTTGCTATCACTCATTAATCTCTTGCCCCTGTTGTAATTTTGATAGGAATGGTTTTTCTCCTTGTTTGGGTGGTAGGTGGAACCCCCCTACCCAAATGCAAAGTTTGTTTGCCTCTACATTTTTTAGTTGGCCAAATAAGAGGGGAAGATTGATGTGGAGATGTTTAAGAGCTGTTTGTCGGGCCATTTGGGAGGAAAGTAATTCAAGGATATTCTGAGATAGGGAAAGAAGCAGATAGGCTATTATTGAGGTCTTCACTGTTAGAGTGGTTCAGTGGGGTAAATCTTTGGAGTTATTTGCTGATTTTCAGGTTTTCAGCGGGTGATATAATGAGAAATTGGAAGGAAGTGGCTTGTTCAGACTGACATAAGTCTGTTACAAGCCCTATATGGTCTCCATCACTTCCTGGTTTTATTAAGCTCAATTTTGATGGGGTAGTGCATGCAATCCAGGTCCATCAGGTATTTGTGGTGCTTTCAGGAACAAGGAGGGCAGAATCATTGGTCTATTTTCAGGGCCAATAGGTGAAGGGGATTCTTTGAGGGATGAGATTTTGGCCATGTTGGCAGGCGTGCAAAGATCGAAGGACGTGGACATTAGTAAGTCGGTTATAGAAGGGGGACTCAAAGCTGGTGGTGGGTTGGCTGCAAAAGGAAGAAATTGGACTTTGGAACTACAACAGGGAAAGAAAGAAATTTAAATGGCTGATGCAAGGCATAGATGTGAGGTTAAATCGGGTTAAAAGAACTGCTAATGGGTTTGCTGATGCTTTAGCAAAACAAGGGATGGGAAGAAATCAGTTGTTTTGGACTTAACTGTAACTTTATTTTAGTTTTTGTGGAGAGTTAAGAGATTTTATCTCTCCTCTTTTGTAATTTCTATCTTTTAATGAAATATGCAGTTATTGATCAAAACAAGAAAAAGAAATGTATGGACATTTTAAACTTTATATAGATATCCTATTGGATTTATTTTACTGGATACCAACTTTTTCTGTGTTGTCATTCTATATCTGGAGGATAATAGCTGTTTTTTATCAGAAAGAAGATAATATTTGTTTTCTGTTATTTCTTAGTGATGTCACTATTCAATCTATTTACAGCCTTCCATGTTAATTTCATACTTTGTTATCTATCTTGGTTCTGAAAAGTAAATTTTATACTTGCAGGTTTGGCAACACTGCTTATTTGCACATTTCTGTTGCCTTCATCCAGATGCTTAAAGCCCTAAGTATGTTGGTATCATCTGCATATCATTTCTCTTGATTTCATGACTGTACCCTAGAGAAGTACTAAATGTTGACAGTTTACTCTTAAAATATGGGCTGATGCAGTGCCAGTGGCAACATTTCTCATGGCTGTTATATGTGGGACTGACAAATTAAGGTGCGACGTGTTCTTGAACATGGTGCTGGTCAGTGTTGGTGTTGTCATTTCCTCCTATGGGGAAATTCATTTCAATGTAATTGGTACAGTTTACCAGGTCACAGGCATATTTGCTGAAGCTCTTAGACTGGTCTTAACTCAAGTCCTTCTCCAAAAGAAGGGCTTGACATTAAATCCCATCACCAGCTTATATTACATAGCCCCATGCAGGTATACATTCTGATACTGAATACACATCTTGTCCCCACTCTTTGTATATTTGTATTTATACATGTAAATTAGTATGTATCAGAGAAAATCATTACATGTTTATGGTTCATATTTCTCTGTTTTGAACCATTGAACCATGGGAAGGTGTGAAGATAATAAAATGTCACAAGTAAAAATTTCCTTATGAAAGAAGAGGAAGTCTTTCTGACTTTTATTTTTGAGCACTAGCTGATCTTAATAAGAGAGCGCGCACACACACATACACAAAGGCTAACCTGAGATAACTGCTCGGTATCAGCCCTTGAAGCAAAGCTAATAATTCAGCCCTTATTGAATCCCTGCGTCCAATTGGACCTGGGTTTGCAGTAAGAACATCACCTTCATTATTTCACAACACTTCACCAATATCTGAATTTCCTGGTTAAACCATTGAAAAAGTTCAGCTTTGTCACCAATGGAGGGGACCAACTCATGAGGATGATATCCATGAGGAAGGGTGATTTTGGAGCCAATTTTTAAAATGGGGGTGAGGGAAAGGGAGTCATGTGATTTTTACAATAGGTATAAGGGCCCAAAAAGTATATAGGATGTTATAATTATTTAGTTATTGGAAATAGGGGAAAGTAATGTAATTTGTTCTCTTTCAACAACACTCCAAGTCAATGGGAGGAGGCGATAGGAAAAATTTTGTCTCTAAGTTATTGGTGGATGGAATATCTCTGACTAGTCAAAATGAGATAGCTTGAGCCTTTGTGGATCGTTTTAAATCAATCTTTAGGAGACCTTTGGAGGAGTCTAAGGCATGGTTGGAAATGAATTTTGAGTTGGATGAGATGTGATCAAAGTTGTGTCTGTGCTAGATGTGGTGGTCGTAAGAGGCCTGTTCCCAAGGGTATTATGTATGGTAAGCCAACAAACCAAGGTATCACACAGCTGAATTTTCAACGTAACAAAAGATCAATTGCAGAGGAACGTGCTGGGCGTAAGTTGGGTGGTCTGAAGGTTCTCAATTCCTACTGGACCGATGAGGATTCAACATACAAATACTATGAGATCATCTTGGTTGATGCTGCCCATAATGCGATCTGCAATGACCCTATGATCAACTGGATCTGCAAGCCTGTTCATAAGCACAGGGAGCTCCGGGGACCGACTTCTGCTGGTAAAAAGTACAGGGGTCTCCATGGAAAGGGACACTTGGACCACAAGGCAAGGCCATCCCGAAGGGCAAACTGGAAGAGAAACGACACCCTCTCTCTCCATCGCTATCGTTAATGGAAGTGACATTTCTTGCAGTTCTTGTTGTGTTAGGATTGGGATTTCATTTGTAGGACTCAGTAGCCTGTTTGGGATAAAGAATGGGTTGGCTATAACAAGGAACAAATTCATATTTTGGCAGATTTTATACGCTATATTTATTTAAGTTGTTTTATCAAAAAGATGGAGCCAAAGCACTTTGGCTTGATGGTATTATGATGGTTTTCTATCAAGATTGCTGGGAAATGTTAAAGGAGGATCTACATAAAGTATTCAATGAGTTTTTTGGGCGGGGTAAAATTAACTAAACCCAAGACTTAATTCCACCATTATTACATTAATCCCAAAGAAATATGAAGTTATGCATCCTATGGATTTTAGCATAGTTGTCAAGGCGACTGGGCAAGGCTAGGCGAGGCGCCTAAGCACTGCCTAGGCGACACCTAGGTGGTGAAATCTATAAATATAAAATCTATATTTATACTACAATATGTTTAAGAAGAAGAAGGGAAGAGAATAGGGGTGGAACCCCTATTTTTTTGGAAAAAAAATGCATTGAATCAGGGTTGGAAGAAGAAGAAGAAGAAAGAAGGGAGGAGAATAGGGGCGGAGGCCGCAAAGCCCCTGTTTTTTCGAAAAAAAAGCATTGAATCTGGAAGAAGAAGAAATTGGGCTGGAACTAGAAGCCTTTGGTTCTCCTCCCTCTTCAATCGAGCAAAAACCCTTTCAAGACAACAAATGAACTAAAGAAATGAAAATGAGATGTATTCTATTAGTGTGGCTTAATAATAAAAGTTAACATGTAACCAATTGTATTTTAAAACAACATAATAGCCAATAAAAATATTAGAATATTAAATATGAAAAAAACATTTCTTAAATTTATTTAGGCGCCCGCCTAAGTCTCTGGGCGGTCGCCTAGTATACAAAATTATAGGCGTTTGGGCGAGGCGACACTGTAAAACCGCCTAGTCACCTAGTTGCCTAGGCGACAATGTAAAACCGCCTAGGTGTCGCCTTGACAACTATGGATTTTAGGCCAATTAGTCTGATCAATAGCTTGTATAAAATCATTTTTTTTATAAGTGAAAGATAATTTTATTAATAAGATTGAAAAGGTGTACAAACACCCTAGGAGGAGGCACGAGATGTTACCTCCCCTTTGGAAAGAGAATATAAACACACTCTTAACAGAAATACACTTAGAAAGTAGCCTAGAACAAATCACCCTTTGAAGCCCCTTGTTTAGCCAAGGAATCAGCCATAGCATTTGCTGATCTGCTAACCCACTGAAAGCTTACAGTCATGTTTCTTGTTAGCCACTTAACTTTTTGGGAAGATCCCTGTAACCCCAGAAAACCGTATCCGGATCTGATAGCCAACCTACTACCACCTTAGAGTCCCCCTCAAATATTAAGTGTTCCACTCCAAGTTGGTTTGCAGCTTGTATTCCTTGTACTGCAGCCAATATCTCAGCCCTTGTAGAGTCACCAACACTCACTGATCCAGAGTATAGGGATAAGATGTTACTATCATTATCTCTCAAAACCCCTCCTATGCCTGAAGGCCCTGGATTACCTTGACTACTCCCATCAAAGTTCAGTTTAACCATTCCTTCCGGAGGAGGTTTCCATTCAGCTTTTACACTATTCTTTTTAGAGGTTGTGGAGGCGACCTCTGCCTAGCTTTTCCAAAGATCATCAAAGGAATAATTCATAAAAAAGATCTGAAGTTTTCAACCAAAAAATTGTTCTTGTCAAGATACACTCCTTTACTTCGGCTAAACTTCTTTCATTTTCTTGGAAAATTTTGGCATTCCTCTCCTCCCAAATGGTCCACAAAATAGCTACCCTTACGCACTTCCACACTAGTTTCCCTCTCTTTGTTGATCACCGGAAGGTAGTCGGATCAAAAAGCAGACTTATTTCGGAGGGCAAGTTCCACCTACACCCAATTCCAAATATTAGCAACCAAAGCACTAGATATCAGCAAGTGATGACAGTCCTCACTCTTTACTTTACACAAAATACACCAGTTTGGTGATAAACACAAGTAAGGTCTCTTCTTTTGTAGTTAATCCAAGGTATTGATCTTACCATAATAAGCTTCCCAACAAAAGATAGCAACTTTAGGAGGTATAGGCCTTGACCAAAACTCTTTGATAGGGAAACCCCCGGATGAGGAAGAAGAGCAAAGGGATTTGAAAAAAGAAGAACAAGTGAAGGAACCATTCGAGGTCAGAGTACAGATTCTTCTATCATGTTTGAGAGGGTCCAAACACACAAGAGTCTAGAAGAAGTAGAAGCTCAGAGACACAGGTTGATTCTTCATCCATTAAACCTCTACGAAAACCAAAATCCCAATTTAAAGTCAAAGGAAGAACCGGAGGGGAAAGGAACCTTGAAATAGGCTTCTTTTTRAAAAGGGAAATGAAATAGAGGGAGGGAAAGCAATCTTTTAGAGGTTGATTACCCACCCAAACATCCTCCCAAAAGAGAACAGAATTTCCAGAGCAGACATCATACCTTACAAACTTGAGGAAATCAGGTAGTCCTAAATAGGTCAAAGGCCACTCAAACCAGGTACACTCTAAACAGGCAGCTATGGATTCCATCACCTCCCCAGTTAGGTTTAACCCTACCACACAACTTTTCTCAAAATTGATTTTCAAGTTAGAGGCACTTTCGAAATGAATTATCACATCTTTTAAAATTCTCACCTTCGTCAAGTCAAAACCCTCACAAAAAATTATGATGTCATCTGCAAATTGAAGGTGTGTTACTAGAATTCTATCTCTACCTATTCTCCAACCTCTTATTGACCCAACCATGTTTGATTTTGATATCAGTCTACTTAGAGTATCCGCAACCAGTGTAAATAGAAAAGGGGACAGTGAATCACCTTGTCTTAGGCCTCTACAAGCTAGGAAAAAATCATTGACAACCCTAATAATTAGAATTGAGTAATGGCAGGAGGTAAGGCAACCATTGATCCAATTACACCATCTAACCCCAAATCCACACTTTCTTAGCACCTCTAGCAAGAAGCTCCAATCCTCTAGATCATAGGCCTTTTCAAGATCCAATTTGCACAAAGCCTTTATTACCCGATCTTCTCATCTCCTCCACACACTCATTTGCTATTAAGATCTGATCTATTATTTGTCTCCCCAGTGCAAAGGCACCTTGGGCTTGGCTGATGATAGAGGGAAGCACCTTTTTGATCCTCAATGAAAGGCTTTCTCAGAGGATTAGGATTGTCCTTCCCACTTTGATCTCTCCCTATCAAGGGGCTTTTGTTCAAGATAGGAAAATCATTGACTAGATCTCAATAGCTAATGAATGCGTAGAAGATTTAAGGAGATCGAGGAGGAAGGGGTTGGTCTACAAATTGGATTTGGAAAAGGCCTATGATTTGGTTGACTGGGGCTTTCTGTTGGATGTTCGAAAAAACTTTGGAGTTGGGGACAGGTGGTGTAAATGGATCTCAGGTTGTATCAAGACTTGTCACTACTTGATTTTGGTAAATGGAATTGTGGTGGGTCATCTTTTGGCCTTTAGGGGAATTAGGCATGGGGGCCCTCTCTCCCCATTCTTATTCAATTGATAGCAGATGTTCTTGGGAGGCTGGCTGATGCTAAGAATTAAATGATGGGCTGAAGAATAGGTAGAGATGAGATTCCTTTGACACAATATAATTCATTGATGATACGATTCTCTTTTATGATGAAACTGATCTAAGATATGTGAGTGAGAAGTTTGAAGATGTTAGTATTCTTTTTTGAAAGAATGTCAAATTTGAAAGTGAACTGGGATAAAAGCTGTCTTGTGGGATTGAACATGGAGGAAAGAGAAGTGACTGAAGAGCAGATATGTTAGAATGTAAGGTGGATCATTTGCCTGAGAACTACTTGGAGCTTCCTTTGGGGGACAACTCAAGGGGGAGTAATTTTTAGAATTTTGGTTGTTGAGAGGTCTACTAAGAGATTGGCTTCTTGGAAGAAAAGCTATTTGCCTTTAGGTGGAAGGATCACTCTTATTAAGGCCACTCTTGCCAATCTGCCGATCTACTTTATGTCTGTCTTCAGAATCCTTGTAGAGGTGAGTAAGAAGTTAGAGAAAATAATGAGGGATTTTCTATGGGAGCTAGGGGAGGAGAAAAAAGATCATAGAGTGAGATGGGAAGTTGTCAGAAGGAATAAGAGATTTGGTGGGCTAGGGTTGGGGAATATATAGAAAAGAAATATGGCCTTGCTTGCAAAATGGCTTTGGAGACTAACCAATTGAAAAGGATAAGCTGTGGGTGAAGATGATTATTGGTATTCATGGTCTTGCAGCTGATGGTTGGGATGCTGGTTTGTTGGCTAGGGCTACATGAGCTTCTCCTTCGAAGTCTATCCATGCAATTTTGCCTTCTTTCTTGAACTCTRTCAAGTATAACCCTTGTTCTCATAATCTTGTTAAGTTTTGGGAACATGTTTGGTTGGGAAATTCAACCCTAAAAAAGTTATTACCTTTTACTTATGTGATCTCTATCTATAAGGATGAGTATATTTCAGCTTCATGTTTCCTTCCAACTCCTCCTCAGGGTTTGCTTGGGATTTGGGCCTTAGAAGAGGTGTTCGTGATTGTGAAGCTGATAGTGCTGTGACTTTGCTTCAAAACCTTGAAGGTGTTTCTTTAGACCCTTCACGGAATGAAAGTCGAGTTTGGACTCTTTCCCCCTTGGGTACCTTCACTTGTGCCTCATTTTTTCTGTCCTTGATTAGGCCAATTGACAGTAGAAGCCAACTTTCCAGCAAAAGATGTTTGGGGTGAGCCTATTCTGCATAAGATTGGGTGATTCTGCTGGGAAGTATTTCTAGATAGAATCAATACTTGTGATCTTCTTTGAAGGAAAAGACCTAATTGGTGTATCCTTTGTAAGGCTAACGGGGAGTCCTCCCATTACTTTTTTTTTTTTTTTTGAGAAAATTTAACCAGGATTCATTAAAGGAAGAAGAGGTACATGAGAAGATGTACAAAGCAGGGGAAGAACCCCTACAAATTACAAAGGAGGAAGCTTGTCGCTATACAAATGCTCCAAATACACACCACATTTGACTAAGCCATCTGCTGTATGGTTGTGTTCCCTAGGAATCCAAACTAATTTTACATTTAAACAGTCCAAAGAGTCCCTAGCCTCTGCCAAATAGTGACTCAATCTCCAAGGTTCTCCCTCTTTGTCTCTTAACCATTTTATAGTATTTGCTGAATCACCTGCAATGATTAAATTCTGGATTCCCAAATTTTTTATTATTCTGATTCCTGTGAGAGCAGCCATCAGTTCAGCCTTTGTGGAATCGGCCAAACCAATTGGACTGCTGAAAGTCCAACAAATGTTGCTCCTTTCATCCCTTACTGTGCCTCCAATACCTGCTAAGCCAGGGTTACCTAAGGCACTTCCATCGAAGTTTAGGGTCACTACTCCTTCACTGATGGGGTCGGGATGTCTCAAGGATGTTTGATGGAGGTGAGGGAGAAACAGAAGGGGGAATGGTTTTCCTCCCATTACTTGTTAATCTCCTGTTCCCTTGCATTGTCAATTTGGGAATGGGTGGTGGACCCTGCCAAATGTACAAAGACTGTTTAACCCTACTTTTTTAGTTGGCATAAGAGGGGAAGAGTTTTATGGAGATGTAAGGGTCTAGGGCTGCAGTTTGCTGGACCTTATGGGAAGAGAGAATAGATTGTTTGAAGACAAAGAAAAGTAGGGATGCCCTAAGGCTGTGTTTGGTTTGAAGGAAAAAGTAGGGAAAGGAAGGGAAAGGTAGAGAAACCTTTACAAACTTTGTATAGGTTTCCCTACCTTTTCCTTCAAACCAAACATACCATAATTGAAGTCATTACAGTTAGGGTGGTCCATTGGGTGAAAACTTTGAACCTCTTTAATGGTATTCTTGCCACCGACTTGATGAGAAAATGGAGAGAAGTGGCTGACTCTGCTTCTTTGAAAAAGATTCTTGTGCCAACTCGGACTCCTTCAATAAGTGGATTCATTAAATTGAATTTTGATATGGAAGTAGTGAAGGTAATCGTGGACCTTCAGGCATTGGAGGAGCATTCAGGGATGAGGATGGCAGAAATAATAGCTCTATATACTCTGGTTCTATTGGTGTAGGAGATTCTTTGAGAGCTGAAATCGTTGCTGTGATAGAAGGAATTAAGAAGGCAAAAGAATTAAATCCCTCCAAGCTGATAATTGAAGGTGATTCTAAGCTGGTTATTGGCTGGCTCCGAAAGGAGGAGTGGGGATGGTGGGAATATATTAATGAGACAAGGAAGTTTAGTTGCTTGACGTGAGGAATGGATATTCAGTTTTGGGTTAAGAGTGATGCAAACTGTTTGGCTGATGCTTTGGCCAAACAGGGAGTGGGAAGAAGCACAGATTTTTGGGCCATGTTGTAATCTATTCTCTTCTGTATATTCGAGGAGTTAAGAAAGTTTACCTTCCCTCTGTATTCTGTTCTATCTCTATTCTAATTGATGAATTGATTCTCTGTTATTGATAAAAAGTAAATAAAGTCAAAAAACTATTTGGGTGCTGCCACACATCTAATCTTTCTATTTCCTCATTTTATTAGAGGACTATCTGTCAATAGATCTGATATTCTTCATCCTAATCTCTTAGTTTTTTTTCTTTTTTTTTTTTTTTTTCTAATGACCAAGAGTCATTCTTTCAAGTAATAAAAAACTTAATGAGGATGGTTTGAGCAACCCTGCAAGGTTCTTTTGAGGCATTTTCAAGTTGTGAAGTATATGGACTGGTACAGCAACATTGGCTGGTGATGGGGATAAATTCAGAACAGAAAATGGTAGGATATAATGATATATCATGCTTGTGCAGTATAATGTCAGAAGCCTATAGGATTGGTTATCGACTGTGGTGAGCAATACTAGAGCTGAGTGCAATTTCTTTAATGTTTGTGTAAACCTTACTCTACAAGTTTGGTGTATTTTTTGAAGGGTAAAAAGGAAATTTCATTAAACTGAAAAAAAGGCAGTATGCAGTACATCTCAAAATGATGGTTGTCAAGTTGATAAACCAAATACAAATCGGCTATCAAACTGTAAATGAATCAAAATTGCAGGGATTCAACTCCAGAATGCCCCAGAAATTCTCTAACAAATCAGACTTATTCACTTGGTCAAACTCTGGAAGACCGAGTGCCCAAGCTGCAATCAGATTGCCCACTCCTGCTATCAAATATTCAATATTTTTTCCCTTGTCCTCGAAAACCCTTCAGTTTCTCACTTTTCAAATGGACCAGCATATTGTGAATGGAATACAGCTCCACAGGATTTTAGCTTTCTTGCTTCCTCTGATTTTCGGCCATTTGGAGAAAATCTCTGCTGGAACCAAAGGATGAAATGCATTCTCTCCAAACAGGTTGTAGGATGGGGATGTAAGGCTAGGTTGGGGAGTGGTCTCTTTGAAAGACGAAGAGAATCCTCGAGAGTGAGGGAAAGTGAAGGTCCTTAGGTAAAGGGCTTAGAAAATGAGAGAGCTGTGGATACTTGAGAGTATCAGTAACAAATGCTTAGGATCGGATGAGTTCTAATGTGAGGAGGATCTCTATTTATGGAGGAGGTCCCCCAGATCCTAAAAGGTAGGAGATTAAGATATTCGCTCCGTATCGGGAAGGGAATATCTGATTCGCTGTCAATCATTGGGTGCGCTACTGAGGTATCACCACTTGTTTCATGAGGATCTTCTCAAGGATTGGCTTTCCTTATCCTTGAGATTCCTCATTACTCACGTGTGCTACTACCTTTTTGCGTGTCATAACTAATCCTATGTGGCAACAATGATGTCACTGTTTGGCGGTACTTTGTCAGTTTTACGTGGCGGCTTGCGAAGTCCTTTGTTGTCTTGGGTTCGCGTGTATCTGGGTACACGCGGGCCTCGCTATGGGCTCAGCCTACTGTCCTTTTTATCCCGTTATCTAGAGCGGGCTCGCAGGTCGTGAGTTCATCGCATGTTGTAGCGGGTGTGGCTTCATTGCACACTTAGGTTTGTTTGAGTCTCTTGGACGGGTCTTTCTAAGGTTTATTTAGGTTCTGGTGTTAACTGAACTTGGTGAGCTGCAGGTTTATCGCAGCTTTGCTTAATGTTTTGCGGGTTCATCGCAAAGGTGGCGGTGTACCGCAAGTTCATCGCAACATGGGAGTTGATTGCAAGCGGCTCGTGAGTGCTTCTGTGGCATTACTCTTGGTGTCTTAAGTGTTCTTTGAGGGTCTAGGTGAGCTGTACATACCTACACAGGTAGGAGAAGAACTTCCGAATGAAGTTTGCCACACTACATGAGAAGAATAAATGGAGGACTGTTTCTTCCTCCTGGTTGCACATATAACAACAGTTTGCTAACTGTAAGCCTCTGGATTTCAGGTTGTCAGAGGTTAGAATACTGTCATTCGCCACCAACCAAGCAAAAGCTTCTACCCTTGCGGGTACTGGGTTACTCCACACTCCTTTATCTGGTCTGAATCCCTACCATCTCTCAGTAAAGCCTTGTAAAAGGATTTAACTGAGAATCATCCTTCTCTACAGTCTTTCCACCACAGCCCATCTGCTGTAGCTCTGGAAAGATTTGTATTTTCTAACTTTTCCAATAACAGAATACACTCTTCCACTTCTTGGTCTAATAAATGTCTTCTGAACTTCGGGTTCCAAATCACTTGCTCCCCTCTCCACTCGTAACACTGCTCAATAGATATTTGTTGATCTGTCAGCTTGTAAAGTCTAGGGCACACCTCATACAATTTTCTCACCCCAAGACACTCATCTTCCCAAAACCTTACCCTAAGCCCTTCTCCCACTTTAAAGGTAGCTCCCCTACCTTTTCTATTAAAGGTTCCAGATATTAATTGCTGCTGCCTTTGATTCCACTGGCAGCCCAAGATAGATGAAAGGTGGCTCCCCTACCTTACACGCCAGCATTTCTGTGTATTGCCTCACTTCCTCGGCACTTAGGTTCCCAACTCCTATTAGTGAACTTTTTTCCATATTCACCTTCAGACCAATCAGCATTTCAAAGTTGGCTAAGATAGCTCTTAAATTCAGAACTTGATTTGCTGAAGCATCTAGGAAGATTAGTGTATCATCAACATATTGTAGGTGAGAGATATGCAGTCCTTCATTTCCAACTTTAAAGCCTTCTATCCACCCCCTCTGCACTCCTTTCTTCATGATCAGGTTTAAAGCTTCCATGACTAAGACAAACAACAAAGGTGAAGTGGGCCCCCCTGCCTCAACCCTCCAAACCCCATCAACCTGGTGTAGGAGTCTTTAACTTAATATATTCACTCTCCTGAGACATCAAACTTTACAACTGTTGAACATGTCCTAAAGCACTTAGTTAAACAATCTCGGAATAGGAATTCATTTCTCTAAGCATGGCAATCTCAAAGTGGTTACAGATCATGGATTGGGCCGGTTCACTTCATGGTTACAGGTCTACTACAGGTTATTGCATGTTTATGGGTGGAAATTTATTAATATGGATAAGAACAAATGGCAGCGGCCAAATGAAGTGCCAAGGCAGGGTATTGTGCCATGGCACATGGAGTAGCTGAAGTTTTGTGGACAAGGAATTTGCTAACTGAATTGGGCTTTACTATGACCGATGTCATATCCCTTTGTTATGACAAGAAGGTGGCAATGAACATGGAACACAATCTAGTTAAACATGACAGAACCAAAGACATTGAAGTTGATAAGCATTTCATTTACGAGAGATGAGAAGGTGGAGAAGGATGATATCTCCTATTTCTCTCATTGTTTCTCTTCTCTTCTTTTCCTCTTTTCTATTTCTATGAAAAATAACATGGGAAATGTGTCACACCCCCCAGAGTACAGGGGGTCTGTAATTTACCCAAAAGGTACTTTGCTCAATTTTTAATTAACACCATGCTATTTGTTATGTTTTTTGGTAGGACTACTTGTTTTGGTAAGGAATTTTGATAATTTGTTTTTTTTTTTTTATTTTAGATTCTTACTTTCTTATATTTTTCCATTTGCAGTTTTGTGTTTCTGTTTGTTCCCTGGTATTTGCTGGAGAAACCAGGGATGGAAGTTTCACAGATTCAGTTCAATTTCTGGATATTTTTTTCAAATGCCCTTTGTGCACTAGCCTTGAACTTTTCAATATTCTTGGTAATTGGAAGAACTGGAGCAGTCACTATCCGGGTTGCTGGTGTTCTGAAAGATTGGATTTTGATTGCACTTTCAACTGTTTTATTTCCTGAATCAACGATTACTGGTCTGAATATCATTGGCTATGCAATTGGTACTTCTCTTTCCATCTAAGTGAGCAAATTTGTAACACATTCAAAATTTCTGCATTAATTATTAAAATTTCATTCTTCTGCAGCTCTATGTGGTGTAATCATGTATAACTACTTGAAAGTGAAGGATGTCCGAGCATCTCAACTTCCGGCTGAAAGTATCCCAGACAGAGCATCAAAGGTCAGTTTGCAACATATATTTGATAGCTTCAGGATATCAGGGTTACTGCTTATTTCATGAGTACTAGTTATTCCATAATATTTAGTGGTTTTATTTGTTCTTGTTTGAAGTAATATCTGTTATTCAATATATCTCAGAATACTGTCCCAGTATTGGATCTTAAWTATGACATTATAAGTTGATAACCACCAATATATCGCCTTCTTTGGAGCTGTGGTAAGATGATTAGTTGTCTAAAAGTCTCATGGGCATTGCTTCAATTTTAATGGTAACCAATGCAAAACATAATGCTTAAAGTTCAGAATGAGCTTCCAGAAATTTTGCTCAAATGTCAGTAAGATTATATAAAGAATTCCAAGTGTGCATTGATGTTTATTCTCTGCTCCTGAACTCTGAAGCAAGATTTATAATAAATTTTCAACATTTTTAGTGTGTTTATTGTTTCCATAATTTTATGATGTTTATGCCAGCTTCCATTACCTTCTTTTTTTTATCAGTAACACAATTTATTAATATCTGCAAAGTGAATGGTATACATCATAATGTGCTAAGCACCTTAAAAAAGCTAACAAGCCTCGACTAAGAATCCCTTCTTCTATTTTCCATTTACAAGTTTCCCCCTTGTTGAATTAAACCTGGAAACATTTGGTTTCTATTACCATAAACCCTAAAACCCCAAACCCTAAACCCTTTTTGCAATCCTATCTTCTATGATGTCCATTTAAAATTAGTTCTTAGCTCTAAGGCTAGCCTTTTGATCTCCCTGAAAGTGTCTATGGTCCCAACAATCAATGCAGTCTCTCTTTGACCATCCTACAATCATACTAGGGTACTTATCATTCAAGATTTCTCTGTAGTTTAGGGATTTTGTTATCCTTATGATGTGAAGAACTGCCTATAATTCTGCATGCTCATACCTGAAGTAGTATAGCTAAGACGTTCCTTTATCCAAATTTCTGAATATTCCTCCAATTTCTGGGTTCCCTATGCTGCAGCTGTCAAAATACATCATGATGTTTAGGGATAAAGGGTGGTCTGTCTTTTGTCAAAGAGGAGAACGCCATCTGCTGCCAAATTCTTTAAGGTATCACAGGTAGTGAAAGAAGTAAGCATGCCCAACCTATATAACCCTGATACAGCAAGGGCATGGCTGGGTACAGTATTGAATACATAATTCACACTTAAAATTGAAGTATTCGACACAATAAGACACCTTGCAATACTGCTCTGGTACATCTCCCCATGATCTTACCTCTCTTCGGTGGGGAAAAGGAGGTGCTAAATAAACTTCTTGAATATCCCTAGGTTGTCTGCCTGCCTTCAAATAAAGAACAGAAAAATGGCCAAATGTTTGATAGAATTAGAAATTGATAGGAGAATAATAGATAGAAAGTATTTCTACCATTTTCTCTACAAAAAAAGGCACATGTTAGGTGATGGGGAACAGTAAGGCCTTCGCACATGTTAGGTGATGGGGAACAGTAAGGCCTTCTCCTTTGAAGAGTTTACTAGTGTTTGTTTTCTCATGGTTAACCTCTTAAGCTCTAATTTTGGGTGGAATTGGTCCTTGCAAATGGCACTCACTAGGCAAACTAACTGGGTTGAAGCTTCCATAGCCTTCTACTAATTATTCCACTTCCAAACAAACTAATTATTCCTTCTGAACATAAACAGTCTTAATGTTATGACATGATCTTGCAGAAACATCTTAGCATATCTTATCATCTTCGAATGAACAAAGATCTTTTCCAAGAAACCATTTTAGGRAACATTTTACCTCTCAACTTGCTTACCAGCTAGTCTGAAAGTAGTCTTGTCAATATATTTAGATCTTGCCCCCAAATCAATTGGTTCATTTGGGTTTATCATTTTATTTAATTATATTTATAATAATGTAGGTACATGTAAAAAATGAATATTATGCTTTATCATGAGAGTCTTCCATTCAATCCACATGAGACCTGTGACCATCATAGCTGTCAAGGTGATGCCTAGGTGACAAGGCACCCATGGAGGGTTGCCTCGCCCAAGTGCCTAGTTGCTTTTGTACAAGGCGCTAGGGCTGTTCACGGGTCGGGTTGGGTCGGTTTACTGCGGTTTTTCCAACCGACCCGACTTGGTCGGGTTACCTGACATAGAAACCGAAACCAACCCAATGTTAAGCAAAACCGACCTGGTCGGTTTGAGTCGGGTTGGGTCGGTTTGGGTCGGTTTCGGTTCTAAGTTCATCCCTGTGATAAAATCTTGCTAATTTTAAAAACAGTCATAAATTGAACATCATTTCAGCAATCTCTTATGATAAAATTTAAATGAAAAGTTAATCACAAAAGTTGTTCATTAATCACTATTCACTAATCCAAAGTTTCTTGCAACCATTCAAAAACTAAGTGGCCTAATGAGCTTTGGAACTTCATGTTTGAACTAGGAACTAAGTCGGTTCAGTTCGGGTCGGTTTCGGTTTTCTTGTGTGAAAACCGAAACCGACCCGTGCTGATGAAAACCCGGTCGACTCGGGTTGGATCGGTTCGGGTTGGTCGGGTTGGGCCTTCTTATGAACAGCCCTACAAGGCGCCATATGATGATATGAAGTTTATACTCATTTAATGAAGATTATTGGTAATTATTGGAGAAAATGATTGTCAGTCACATGAAACTTGGGGAACTATCCTAGGATTCATGTTTTTATTTTATTTTATTTTAAAGAATCGATTTCTTAGGTGAAAAGGCACTCCCCCATCACCTAACCTCCCCTTGGCACCTTGGCAACTGTGGTGACCATGAAAAAAAAATCTCCTGGATCCCTTTTGTTTCTTCTAGTACATTGCAAAATTGCAACACATAGATGCTTTGCATGCATATTATTGTTCTTAATCCAAGGGTTCTTCCAGCTAAATAATTGCAACTCAGGGAACAATCCTAGGATTCATGTTTTTTTTTTTATTTTAAAGAATCTATTTCTTACGTGACAAGKYACTCCCCTATAACCTCCCCCCTGCCGGCACCTTTGCAACTATAGTGACCATGAAAAAAAATCTCCTGGATCACTTTTGTTTCTTCTTGTACATTGCGAAATTGCAAAACATAGGTGATTTGCATGCATGTTACCAAGGGTTCTTCCAGCTAACTTATGGCATAATGGATATTGGTCCCTGTAGAGCTAAATCATCAAATTTGTGGTGAATGTATAGTCGCCATTTGACTTTCTGGGCGTTACATATCTTGTATGCCAATGCATCAGGGCTCTAAAGACTTACATTTTAATGGATTTGGTTTTATAGTTCAGATTATGCTTTCTGGGATGGTTAGTTATTCTTCGATTGACTTCCTTGAGACTTCCAAATCACAATGGCCTTAAATTGACTGTCTTGCTAAATGTCCTAGAAGATTTTCTGTGGCTACAAGGTTGTAACTTAATTGTGCATTATTATATGTCGATTGCCTCGACATCATAGAGGGCAACACCATGCCAAAGTATCAAATCTGGTGTTTCTTTAAAAATTAAGGGGTAGGACTGATAAACAATGAAAATCTATGCATATATAATATATTATTCTTCTATATCTTTGAAGAAATTGAAGGCGTGGGAAAAAGTACATAATCTGTCTTTTCAAGCTTTGCTTTCAGGGAATTGAGTTTGCTATTTTAGGGCCTTATTATTCATGGATTCTTATTGGTACTTCATTGTAGGAGTGGAAGTTGGAGAAGAAGTCTTCTGATCTTTATGTACCCAACAGTGGCAATAATAACAGTGGAGGGAATTCATCTGCTTCTGATCCAAATGTGGATGAAGAAGCAGCTCTGCTTCCATCCTCAAGGCTGTCTCATATTGGGCGTACCCAGATTGGCAGCCACTCGTGATGGTTCATGACATGCAGCCCAAGTATAGACCAATTTTCTTGTAAGCTGTCTCACTTGGGGGGTGGGGGGCATTTTATTTGCAAATAGAGAAAAGGGAATGAAGCCAGACGAATTGTATTCCTTTCTTTTGCAAAGAACCACCATTCGTTGCCATTCAATATTGAGGGAATTCATTGTAGAAACTTCATTTGTAGTTTGGGCTTGAAATATAGACTACAGAGGTTAGTTTACTCAGTCTCCTTCAATTTTATGGTTCTATAAATCGTATTACTGGTATAATTCAATACTGCCGGACCTGAAAAGGTACAAAGCTGCCTAACATTATATGAACAATATCATATTTTTTTAATATTCTTTCTTTTCCCTTCCAATTTTTTTGATCAGTGCCCCCTTCCTAGTTTTTTACCCAGGATGCAGTATAATACTCAGATTCGTGCTAGTGCCATGGAGCATTGAACACGGTTGATACAAGGTGTCAACGAGAAGAATATTCTTTACTGGTATCCCATTTAAAGAGGATTGGGATTATAAACTGGGTCCAACTTTAATGATCAACTACAATACCATCTGATTTTAATATTTGAAGTTATATGTTCATTAGACCAGCCAACTACAATACAAGGTGTCTATTTTAATCATAAATAGCCTCAAAAAATAATTATCACCTGCCAATTTATATTGATCAATCCAAAGGTTTCAGGTAGAAACAACAATAATACCAAACACAAACCATAATTTGACAATGGATATGAATCGATATCATCTAGTTTCAGACATGATGTATTTATGTTTGGGTGGTTTACGAAGACACTCCTATAGTTTTTTATATTTACTAAATTTCTACCCCTAATTTGTGTTTTTTTAAAAACACCCCGCATATTTTTGCACCCAGTTTATTTAAAGTAATTTATTTTACTATAATGGAAGTATAAAATTACCTTTTTAACCATGATTCTGTTATACCTGGAAATGGCAACAGGCCCATCTCCAAGGTTCAAAATGTCGATACGTCGGCGTATCGGGCGAATCGAAACTCCTGGTTTTTTTTTGTTTTTTTTGCCAGCTGGTTCAGGGGAATCGGTTTAGGTCTTCGCCACACTCTGAACCAGTCAGACCACCGATACATCTACTATAGGAACGTATCGATGGGGTGCCGGAATGATACGTATCGGCCGATACGGGCCGATACTTTGAGCCTTGCCCATCTCCATCCCCACCAATGGGGACAAAGCTTTTCCCATTCCTGTCCCCATGGGGATTATCCCCATTACTTGCCAATTTTTTTTTGTGATGTTAAACTTATTTTATTTTTTAAGTCATTCATTTCAATCTTTTAAATAAGATAGTTACAATTTACAGTGCTATCAAAATAGATCCAAATATTTTAAAACATATTCCAACATATTCAAATATATTTTTAAAAATATTAACACATTTTAAAAAACATCAATACAAATATATATTACTAAATATGAATCCCCACAGGACGGGGATTGGAGACCGCATGGGGTAGGGACTAGGGAGTGCTCGCCATCTCCACCCCATCCTCACCAATGGGGACAGAAATTTGCCACCCTATCCCCATGGGAGAAAATATTTGCATCCCCACTCATTCAAGGCAGGTCTCTATGGGAATCAGAGAAATGGGAAAAGTTGTCATCCCTAATTAGACTATAATCAATGAAAGAAAATAAAAAATAAAATGCCCCTTTTTCCCTGTAAGAATGCAGGCAATTGACAAGTTGGACATTTCTTCTTTCCTTGTTCCAAGTTAACTAGGTAAGTACTGCCTTTGCTTCTCTTCTCAATGGCAAAGAATCCTGATCGACCCCATCAGGCCATCACTCTGTTTAAGTTCTTTCTCTTTGCAAAGATAAATATTTTCTTCAATATTCGAACGTTGTGATTGTAAAGTGCCATGAGAGTGATTGATCTTGCATGAATTTTCTTGATATATCCATTCCTATCTGGAAATATTGTGAATAGGGGTGTTGATTTACACCCCTATTTTGGGCTTGGGCTTCGGGTTGGGTTCATTGAATTTTTGACAAAATTCCAACCCTAACCCACAAAAATAGCACCCCTAATTGTGAATGAGAGATGAAGACAGATCTGTTGTCTCCTTGAATAAGGAAGAGGAGTGAGAGAACTTGTATGGAATATTTTAGCAGACCTCTTTGTATGCTCAATCCTCTCTATGCATATTGTGATATCAGATAGTGATATGAGGAAGTGAAGTTATGAAATCTGGGAGAATATAGAGCAAAAGGAGAAGCTTGGGGTTATGAGGTTAGCATTTTTTAACTGAAAAAAGGAGATAAATCCTTAAAATAACGAATGACAAATGCAACCTTAGTCGTTTTTTAAGCCCTATCTAAGTCTTCAGATGAATTCAAGGACTAAATATATATTTATGTATTTAGCATTTCTTATATCCTTTCTCCGTAAAATATCAAAGTGAAAGAGACGTCTTCTATCCCATTCCTGTCAAGCTGTTCTAGTATTCATCAAGTTATTTAAAAGCATATGACTTGATTTTGTCATGTCCAACAAATAAAGTTGGAGTGGCAGGTTACTTCAACGTCAGCAGGAAGATATGCCAATTAGAAAGATTTTGCAAAGATTACTTATTTAATAAGCAATTATGTACACACCAGGCAACCATGTTAAAATCATGAAGGCTCCCCACCTACTCTCAGCTTATAATTGTGCTTCACCATTGGATTGAACAATGTTTCAAAAAATACCCGGAATTGGAATTGATTTGGCCACTGGTTTCAGCGGTTAGGTTGTCTGGTTTGAACGGATGATCTATTTTAATTTAAAAAATAAAAATGAAGAACAGTCAAAACCATTGTTCGGGTTGAATGAATTGATTGTGATTGTCTAGGTCAGTGGGTCACTGATCAAGTCAACAGTTTTTTTACCAAAAAACAGATTAAGGGTGAAATGGAATAGGTTGCCTGGATGATTCCTAAGACAAACGGTCCAACTGTTATGATCAACAACGGTTTGAAAGCACTGGGATTGAATGAATTTAACCGTACTTACTATATTGAAAAGTGCTTAACTTGTAAGATAGGGATTCAACTCTTTTCTTATTTGATTCATTTATATTCAGATTGAATTAAATCTTATCCTTGGAATTTATATCACATTTGAATGAAAATCCGGGTTGCAATTGGATATTAAATAGCGTTAAAAAATAGACTAAAAATGATCGAGATATTATATACTATTGATAAAGTGAACTAGAAATGATTTTATGAAACTTGAACCAATGGCTGCTTCGTAAAAGTAATAAATACAATTTTAACTCTACCTTTAAAACTTGAAAGTAAGATTTCAAACTTTTTTTTATTAAAACATTCTTATTTTTGAATTCAATGCCTCTCTTATAGGGTTGAATATGTAAATAAAAATATTACTTTTCACTTTATTTAGTCTTAAGTTATTAATTCCCAATCTCTTTTTTTTTTAATTTAAAATCTATATTTAAGAGTAAAAATATAAGGCCCCATTTGGTTTGTGGGAATAGGGGTCTGGAATTGGAATTCAGAATGGGCTATTCCAATTCCAACTGTTTAATTGGATGGTCCAATGGGATCAAAATCCCATTCCTGTTGAAATGGCATTCCCCCATTCTCTGCCCCTCCCTTGTTTGTGAAATCCTATTCTTGTTGATTTCAATTTTCATTCCTATTCTTGTCTGAACCAAATAGACTATGGGATTGGATCATTCTGATTCCGATTTTAGATAATTTTAATTTTGATTCCAATTCCGATTTCAATTGTGTGGGCATTATGATTGATTCCACAGTCCATCGGCTGAACAACTATTGCGTTCAGCTAATCCACAGTCCAACCGTTTAGCTTTTGGCATTTGCTGCCCTTCTCAATATCACATATCCAGTCATTCCTAAGCTGATTACTTTCCTGTGGGAAGGATTCGTCCTCCCACTTAAAAAAATTGAATAGAACAATGCCACTGGGAGGTCCGTCCATAGATATACACCTGCTAGGGGTGCCCACGGTTCGGTGGGGTTTTTTTAGGACCGAATCGGTATTACCGATTTTTAGAAAATTGGTAAATAAAATTGAATCGAAACCAAGGTTCAAAATATTGATACGTCCGATACATCGGTATGGGCGTATCGGGCGAATCGATACTCCTGGTGTTTTTTTTTTTTTTTCGCCAACTGGTTCAGGGGAGCCGGTTTAGGTCTTCGCCACACCTTGAACTGATCAGACCACCGATACACCCACTATAGGGGCATATCGGTGGGGTGCCGAAATGATACATATCGGCTGATACGGGCCGATACGTGTCGATACATTGAACCTTGATCGAAACCAGTCGATTAACTGGTTGACCGATTTGATTAATCACTGGTTTGGTTGGTCGATTTTTTGGTTTTTTAATTTTTATAATATATATTATAAAAAATATATAAATATCTATAATATTATATTTTAATTAATAAATAATATATCATATATTATAAATATATATTTATATATAATATATATTTATTAATTTATAATATAAATTAATTTAGCTATCCTTATTGTTTAGATATTAGTATACTTTACTGTTTGAAAAATGACTGACACTATCCTATTGTTTCTATAATTTTCTAAACCTTCCAAAAATAGTTAAGCATGGACAGAAAAAATCAAATGTCTGTTTTGCCCACCTAATTGATTTTCAGAGGGAAGATATCCTCTCTCCCAAGCTACGTTTTACTCTTCTACTAAAGGTCATTGACAGTAGAAATTGAGGACTCGCAGCGGCCAAAGTCGTCGTCGGCGATGGAAAGCTCCTCTTCACTCTTGCGTTAAAGGTCGTCGTCGACAGAAATCGAGAACTCACAGCGGCCAAAATYGCCATCGGCGACAGAAAGCTCCTCTTCACTCTCGCGCTAAATGTCGTCGTCGATAGAAATCGAGGACTCACAACAAACAAAATCATTGTCAGTGACAAAAAGCTCCTCATTCTCGCGCTAAAAGTCGTCGGTGACGAAAAGAGGGAGACGGAGAGGAATGACCTCTGCAACAAAACCAAACTTATCTTGAACTGCACCAAACCCTACAACCCATGGCGTGAACAAATCCTTCCTCTTCTTCTCTTCACCTCGTCTACCAATGCCAGAATGTCTCCAATGGCCTCCAATTAGTCCTCCATAAATGCCCTTAAAGTACCCAAGGTGGGAACTTGGTTTCTGTGTTCGCCA